AGTGTGTTTGTGAGAATGTGGTGCCCATGTGGGTGGCCGTGTGCAGTGTGTGAGTGTGAGACTGTGGTGCCCGTGTGCGGTGTGTGCGTGAGACTATGGTGCCTGTGTGCGGTGTGTGTGTGAGCCTGTGGTGCCCACGTGGGTGCCCGTGTGCAGTGTGTGAGTGTGAGAGGAAGGGTGGCTGGAAGCAGGCAGCCAGCTCCCAGGCTGATCCAACTCTGTCTCACACACTTGGTTTCTGTTATCCTGTGAGAGCTGCTTCACGTCCACACCTTTCACAACACATCAGAACATGACTAGTGAGCTAAACTCCCAAGGGAAAACCTTTTTCCACACAAGATCCCCTCCTGCTCCACGAATGTCTTCCACGAATCCTGGAGTGGGTTAAATGAGATGGTGACTTTAACACTGAAACGCCCCGTGACTAATGTAGAAAACTGGCGCAAGCGAAAACCTGCCTTGGGCATGGTCTCAGACGGGAGAGATGGTCCCTCCCCGGCCTCCCAGGGTCACGGGCCTGGGCCACAGTTCCCCGTGGGGGTCTGGTGCAAGGTCTTTGATGGAAGCTGGCTGGAGGCCCAACTCGGCCCCGCGCCCACACGACTCCATGGCCCGTCTACACTGCAACATGCAACACCCGAAGGCAACCTCCCCCTGCCCATGCTCACCGGCTGTGCAGATAACTGAGCATGGAGACTGCTAAATAACCTGGCTGCCAAGGGCAGCAGCGGCCTCCAGACACGTGCGCTGAAGACAGAGGGGTCGCTCTGACCAGGGAGCAGGGATGCTGGGGCCCCTCTGTGCTTCCTGTCCTGCACACCCGATAACTCAGCCACTTCCGCAGCGGCAGGGTCCCCGCAGGCCGCTGCTGTCAGAGCTGCCGGCCCTGCCTGTGCGTGCCAGATCGCCCGGCACACTGTATATCAACCTTCATCAAAGGCCGCCAGGCAGAGGAGCGGGGTCCAGGCCAACTTTTGTGCATTAGAGAGATTTTTAAAGAGACCTTGATAAAACTAGTGCTTCCTGTTTTTTTGATGTGTTTAAGTAAGAGAAGGTTTTTCTCGTTAGAAGAGCAAACCCATCAGGAAGCAGGCACAGGCGGCAGCTGACAGCGAGGTTCTCTATTTAGTTATTTAAAATAAGCAGCCAGAAGAACTGTAAGGCTCCAGGATGGTGGGGAATAGACATGTCAGCCGCCCCTTAACTGGAGCAAAAAGCAGGAAGAGCCTGTTTTCTCTGAAGAAAGGACCTGTAAAGTGCTCTGGATGTTTTAACAGCAGCCTGGTATTTCATCAAGCCTGTCACTGGCTGGCTAGCCTGCTGCAGGGATGCCACCTGGACCTTTGATGTGCTGTGATTTATGTTAACCTCAATATCATCCCTCACCCACAAAAATGGTCAGGAGAAGGCGGGGCATGTCCTGGTACCTGCAGCCACTGCCCACATCCCCTCTTGGTACCTCTCTGGCTGGCACAGCCCCCTGTGATGGCCCAGGAAGCACCAGCCCAGGCGGCAGGTCCCACGGGGATCCCCCGTGGCGATGCAGGTCCCACCCCTCCCCTCGAGGCCCTGATCTTGGCCGTGGCCTGCTGCTGCTCCTCCAGCAAAACCTCGCACACTCCAGGTCTGCTGTGTCTGGGATTACGTGCCCAGGGGTCTTGCTCTGTAGCAGGTCATGGCACTGTTCCCAGTCCCCCAGGCCAGGGTGTGGCCCTGCAGTCTTTAAGGCAGCACTGTCAGCTGCCGGCGAGGTGTGTGAGGGGACCTATGCGCCCACCCCTCAAAGATCCAGGGGTTCCGGGGCCCCACAGACCACCTCAGGCCCAGCCACGCGCCCCTCTCTCCACTTTCCCCCTGCCGCGTGCTCTCGGCTTGGCCGGCCCAGCGTCCTCCACGCCCTCTCCAAGAGCCCAGCTGTCCTCCTGTGAGGTGCCTGCACCTCTGGGCTCTTACTGACCCCCAAGGTCACCCTGCCCTTGGCGTCTTCTACTTCCTCAAGCCACCGAGCCTCCCTCCTCTCTGGGACCCCCCTGCAGTGCTCACCGCCCTGACCACCAGCTCCCTGGCTTCCCACGTCTGGGTCAGGGCCCCATGGCAGCCTTTAGGCGAGCCGAGGCTCAGCGCGGCCCGTCCTGGGCCTCCCTCAGCAGCTGCCTGGTCACTGGGGCAAGGCACTGAGTCCTGCTGAGAACCTGCACTCCTCACCCCGGCCCTTAGATCAGGAGTCACCGCAGGGACATGAAGCTGTGCAGGTTCTAAGGAAGCGGCCCTCTCTCACAGGTGGACCTCTAACGACAAGGGCCTGAGGAGCACATGGCAGCCGCCCAGCGCCCCGGCTTCCTGGTCTGGAATGGCCACCTGCTGTGGCGAGCAGGCGGTTTGTGTCACCCGGAGATGTTTCTGGCATGCTTGGCTTTCAGGCCTGAGTCTGAACAAGATCTTTCCTGGAAAATAAAGCTGGTTTCTCTCAGTGCGAATCTTTCAACATTTAGGATCACAGAGCTGACCTATCTGGAAAAGCGACGGCAGCAGGCCGGCTAAGGGGCTGGGGGAGGGGACAGAGGACACTCCTGGCTGCTTCCACTTCCGGCCCAGTGGGAGACAGACCCCTGACTGGGGAGGCTCTGGTTGGAGGCAGGACCTGCAGCCCTGAGTTCCCCTCCGCCGTCTCTGATGCTGCCCCTCGCATCAGCCTTGATAGAAGGGGAGGGAGGAAGGTTCTGGAGCCTCGGCGCCCTGGGGCCCTAGGAACATGGGGTGTTGCCTGCTCACAGTAAGACTCTGCTCTCACGAGGGGACCAAGGCCGGGAACGCGCGGCTTCCTCTGCTACAGCAGCACCCAGTTAGCAGCAGGGTCCCCGTTGTTCCCAACCTGCTTCCCAGGGACAGGGGTCAGTGGCCATGGAGGTGGGCTGGCTGTGACCAGTGGGGTTCCTCTTGTAATGGGGTTCGCACTAGGGAAGACGACACCCTTTTGTTCTAACGTTCACAATGAGAATTCCGCAGGTTCGGGATTCTCTTGAAGGACGCGTCTAGAGGCTCAGGAAGAGCACATGTGGGACACTCAGAATGAAAGCCACCTCCCCATGTGGCGTCACACACTTGAGACACTCCCAGGCTGGATGTGACACTGGCGGTGGTGCACGAGGCATCCTCTGTGAGGCACCCCACGTGCTGCCCACCTTGAGGCGCACTGTCCATGCTGAGGCCACCACAGGCAGTGGCCAGAGAGCAGACCCTCGCCCTGCAGTTTCCAGAACAATGCCGACGATGCCTGCACACCAGGCCCCTTGAGCGCCGTGCTGCACTACAGGGGTCCGTGGCCTCCCGTGTGGCCTGACGTGTCCCCACCACTCATGACCCCGAGTGCCTCTGGGCACTGCCCTCATCTGCACGGCACCCGGATCAGACTGTCGGGGAGTGAGCAGGGCTGGCTTTCCATTGGGGAGGCTTGTGCCCTGGGTGCTGTCCCTGCTTCCCCTCTGCCCACCCCACAACGCCAGGCCAGAGTGCCTGTCAGCAGGAGCCATCAGACACCAGAGCCGGGGGCATGCAGGGCACCTGCGAGTGTGTGACCACCTGGCTGATGATCAGGGCCTGGGGACCAGCACCTTGGTCCGAGTGCCCGAGGGCAGGCAAAAGCAGCACTGACACAATGGCATCTGAGTTGCTGCCCCACTGATTTCCCAAATCCAGGGGCCGGGGAGAGGCTTTACAAAGACAGTGAGATCGGGTGGTAGCGCGCTGCCTGTCCCTTGAGCTGAAAACGAGGATGCTGCTTCCAGAGGAGCCCAGGGGGATAAGCACCAAATGGGGGTGAAAAGGCAAGTTTCCTGCAAACCGCTGAGCACCAGGACACCCCCACTAAGTGCCCTGTCACTCCGACTCTACTGGGACTGTCCTCAGGACTGCCGGGCAGGGGAGGGTTGTCCCAGAGGGCACAGGAGGCAGGTTCCCACCCTGTCCCTTGGGGCAAGGCGTGTGAATCTGGTGTGCTAGTGCCTCAGGCACTGCCCTGCTGTCCACCTGCTGTGGTCCTGTGATCCGGACACATGGCTCTTGAGTCCCCCACATGCCAGCTGGCTGTTCTCAGGACCTGCACTGGACGCCCAGAGCAGGCAGCCAGACAGAGCTCTGCGTGGGGAAGCCACCAACTGAGTCATGCCATGGGAACGTGGACTCACACCCAAAGCCTGTGGATGGATTCCGAGGCTCAGGAAGTGCACGTGAGACACTCAGAATGAAAGGTTCCCCCCCCCACGTGGTGTCACACACTTCAGACACTCCTGGAGCTGGATGTGACATCGGCAGTGACGGCCCTGCCTCCTCACCCCACCTCGCACACCCACAGCTGGTGGAGGCCGTGCTGGGAGCAGGGATGCTTGGGCCCCAGGGTGGCGCCGGAATGGAACACTGCAGGTGGCACTCTTGCCCTGAGTCTTTGGAACGTTCTTCCTCTCTGCTTAGGCCTCGGAGGCCCGCTGTGCAGACCGCAGCATCTCTGACTCCCTCCAGCGGTGTCGGTGGGGACGCTGCACAGAGCCCTGCCCCTGGGGGCTCAGAGCAGCAGACAGGCCTGCTGGGCAGAAGCGCCCCAGCCCGCCTCGGGACCACTGACTGGGACCCACGTGAGGATTCCCTAGAGAAGTCGCCTGTCCACAGAGGAAATGAAGAGGGTAAGAAAAAGAAAACCTCTGCTCACAATGTGCTCCAGTAACGGACACAGAGGGACCACGGCACTGAAAGGGTGCAGCCCCCCTGCAGCGGACCCCGAGCCATCTTCTCACCAGAAAAGGGCTCTTTCCAGTCCTGCCCCACCTCTTCCAGCCACAATCACAGTCCTGCCACATTTAAGGGGAAGCAGGTACAAGGCGAAACTGCGAGCATCCACGTGGTCAGAGACCGACTGCCTTTCATGCTCTGGGGCCCTCGGGTGGCCAGACCACAGCCCCGAGCCTGTCAATATACAGAGTCCCGTGGGGTCTCTGGGGTCTTCGTACCTCATTTCCCAGCAAAGCAGAAACGCATGCTTCGGAGGCGTCGCAGATGGCGGTCAGGTCGTGGCCTCCCTCGAGGGCCAGGACAATCCGGCCGCCAGCCAGGCCCATCAGCTGCTTCGTCAGGTACCCGAAACCTGCAATGGGAAATAGGAGACTGGGTGGTGAACAGGAGGCTGCATAGTGGATGGGGGGCCACGTGGGGGCTGCGTGGGGGACGGGGGAACCGTGTGGCGGATGGGGAACCAAATGGTGGGGCCACATGGTGGATTGGGGGGCCGTGTGGTGAACAGGGGACTGCATGGTGGATGGAGGGGCAGAGTGGTGGACGGGGAGGGGGGCGTGTGGTGGACTGGGGGGAGCTGCATGGTGAATGGGGGATGGCATGGTGGATGGGAGGACTGCATGGTGGATGGAGGGGCCACGTGGTGGATGGGGGAAGCAGCATGGTGGCGGGGGGGTGCGCGTGGTGGATAGGGGTGCATGTGGTGAACGGTGGGGCGACTGCATGGTGAATGTGGAGACCACATGGTGAATAGGAGAGGGCCGCGGTCAGCGCAGCCCAGAAACGCGCCTCATGGCATCACAAGAAGACGCTGGGGCAGAGAGACACATGGTGAGGCCGGGTCTGGTTTCACAAATTAACTGAAGAGTTTCGGTTTTGGGTTTCTCTTTGATGTGTTTGAGAGTAGGAATTATGGCTTCAAGGCTTTGATTTTTAATCAGCAAATCATCTGCTCAAGGGACGAGGGCAGCCAGCCCCACTCAGAGGCCACAGGCCACCTGCCCTTTGGCCACCCCCAGAGGGGATGCGGCCACGACAGCGTGGCAGGGCCCGCCGGGCTCTGGTTACCTACATGCTCTGAACATGTGCACACGCGTGCACGGGCTGTGTGTGCTCCTGATGGGTTCTCCCATGTCCAGGTCTGACCACCTGGCTTTGATCAGGAGCCACAGTCCCGCCATGGCACCCACATCACTCACCCCGGGAGGGAGTGCCTGGTGGGTGAGGATAATCACCACCCTCAGCCTGGCCAGGCTGGCACTGATTAGAGAGCTGGAACCACGCAGTGCTGATTAGTGGCCCCAATCATGGGCTGACAAGGCTTAACTTCCCAAAGCCTCAGTTTGTCCCGTCCGATGGAAATAAATAGGGGCTTCGAGGCAGCTGTGGGGACTGAGGAGGAAGCTGTGGACATGGTGGCCACGGTGCTCCGGGCCAGGTGCTGTGGGGCGCTGGGCAGAGTGGGAGCTCTTTGCCCTGGCTGGTCACTTTTCCAGCCACTAAGCCATGTGGTCTGGGTGCAGGTGGACTGCACTGTGTGAGGCCCCATAGGAGCATGGCCACCCGGGGCCACCTCGGGGCCACCTCAGGTCTTCTGGGTGAGCCACACACTCCACAGGCCAGGGCCAGAGGGGCTAGAGAGATGGCCCCTCTTGGCCACCTGTGCCCACAGGAGTGGGAGGGTACACACTATGGACGCCAGGTCCTTGAGGACGTCACCAGGGCTAAGTCAAAGGTCCCGAGATGCTCTGGCAGTGGGAGGCTCTCCAGGCTCCTCGGGGACTCCAGGGTTGGGGAATCGGCCAGGCCTTTCTGTGTACCAAGAGCTGATGCCAGGAGGTTTTCACCCCTTGGGAGTTGCTAAGGCACAGCGGGAGCACCGATGCATAGTCCCTCCTCCCATCCTGAGAGCGCGGCCCCATCTAACGCTGATCCTGAGAGCACCGGGCAGCCGGGGCTCCCTCAGTGAACTCAACACTACTGTGCTCCCAGCGACCTCCCTTTATAGTTCCATGGGGCACTGCCTGCCAGAGTAGCAGCACAGGGTGCATCTCGGCTCTCGGTGGGGGCAGGGGCAGGTCCCTGGAGGTGGCCTGCAGGACCCTGGACATCTGCGTCCCAGAGAGGAAGCCTCCTGTGCCCTGGGCCCCTCCTGGGCAGAGTGCCCAAGGCTTGCATGTCTGCAGCTCCCACTGCCTACTCTGGGTTCTGGGGCCTCCCAAATGGACGGGTTCCCAGCACGGCCAGGAGCTTGGTCATTAGTGAAAAGGTACCCTTCTTTCCTCAGTCACGTGCAGATCCACTTACATCTGGCAGAGAGGTTGTAGCCCCCCAGAGGTGTGGGGTGGCCCTCCACGGCGTCGAAGCCTGATGACACCAGCACCACGTCCGGGGCAAACTCGCTGGCGATCGGCATGACCACCGTTCTGCAAAGGGCAGGAGAAGGCGTTACTGGGCCAGCCGAGAGGAGGACCGGACAGTCACAAAATCCCAGGTTCCCTCTGATACTGGTAACGCCTGGCCGCAGCCCCCTTGGCCATTGGCAGGCTGGGGGCCCCACACAGCAGAGGCTGAAATCTGGCAGCCTGTGCTGAATTAGACGGGAGTCAGCCCACGTGTGATCCGGGGTCATTTCAGACACGTCTTCTCAGTACAAGCCAACAGGCTCCGCTCTGCGTGCTTAGTGAGAGGGTCGCTCTTTCCTGCTGCGCTGTTTTCTGCACACTTTGGAGGTGGTCTATAGCCCCGATGGCACAAGCTGCATTAACCGGGGGGAAGAAGCCAGCTGCCTGTCCCACTGACACCCTCCCCGGCCCCGCTCCCGGGCTCTGCTCCATCCTCCCTCCAAGCCTCCCAGGTCAGGTCCTTCCTGCCCATCCTCCCTTCTGAGAGTGGGTCAGCTCCGCTCACCCCATCAGGCTGCCCTTGCTGCTACAATGCACTTTCCACAGCTCTCACTGAAGACACGTGCAGTCACTCACTGCCCCCAGTGCTGGGACTGTGAGGCCGAGAGCCCCTGCCAGCCTTGCTGAGGGAGCCTGCATGTTCCTGAATCACCCTAGACCCTAACACCAACACACACGGGAGTAAGGGGAATTACTACGAAATGAGACACTTAAGGATCTTTAAAGGGAAAGCTGATGACAAATGTAAGAAAATTCATTAGAAAAAGATGAACCACTGGAAATTCTTTGATTAAGATATATTAGGGAAATAAGGAAAACATTCTACCTGAAAAGAGGAAAAAGCACTCCTTAACACGAAACAGCTTATCAGTCTACAGTCTAACGATCTTATCAGCATGAGTTATGAATCCATGCATGTGCTGTCAGTGAATGGGGAAGATCAGCAGTTTCATGTGGCATTTGGGCTGCCTTCTTCAGTTCTGGGTTCTAATCACTGCTGACTTTCAGCGCCTCCTTCACCCCCTCTCTGGGTGAGGGGGACAGAATCATGGCCTCCCTTTCCTGGGCAACAGCAGGGTCCCTGCGAGAAAGGTGGTCTGGTGTCTTCCTGCAATGGCCCAGGTGCCAGAGACCGGTGCAGGGGAGGACAGTGGAACGGAAGTGGTGCCTTTTAAAAGGGGACTTCAAGAAGTTCCTGGAAAAATTGAATTAAAAGATAAAAAATACAAACTTTATTTCTCAATTCAAGCTCCATCAAGTCCAAGACACTTTTGTAATGGTGATAGCAGCCATTTAGTCCCTCCTGGAAGGACTGAGCGTCCTGGGAATTTAACCATGTCCAATGCAGTCTGTTTTTACATTATTAACTGAAGAAAAATAAATACATTATTAACTGAAAAAAAAAAATCTCTTCACAGATTTTTCTAAGATTAGGAAACAGAAAGAAGTCAGAGGAGCCAACTCCGGACCATAAGGTGGGGACCTAATGATTTCTCTTCAAAGCTCTTGCAAAGGTTTCCTTGTTTAATGAGGAGTGAGCAGGACTGCTGTGGAGAAGGACCCTCGGTGGGGCAGGGCGCGGTGGCTCACACCTGTCATCCCAGCACTTTGGAAGGCTGAGCCAGGTGGATCACCTGAGGTCAGGAGTTCAAGACCAGCCTGGCCAACATGGTAAAACCCCAATTCTACCAAAAATACGAAAACTCGATGGGCATGGTGGCGAGAACCTATAATCCCAGTTACTCAAGAGGCTGAGGCAGGAGAATCGTTTGAACCCAGGAGGCAGAGGTTGCAGTGAGCAGAGATTGCGCCACTGCACTCAAACCTGGGCAGTAAGAGCTAAACTCCGTCTCAGAAAGAAAAACAAAGGACTCTCCGGGGGAAGCTCTCCCAGTGATTTTCTGCTAGTGTTGAGGAACTTTCTAAAACACTCTCACAATAAGCAGATGCTGTCATTCTTTGGTTCCTCCAGAACAGGCAGAATGCCTTGGGCATTCCCAAACCTGCTGTTGTGACCTTTACTCCTGACCAGCTGCTGGGACTGGGTGGCCTCTGGCTCTCAGTGGCAGTGCTGAGGTTGTGCCTTGTCTTCAGGATGGTCCTGGGAAAGCCATGTTCCACCTCCTGTTACGACTGTTCAGAGAAAGCTTCAGGACCCCGAGTCCACATGGACATTCCCACCGAGAGCTCTGCTCCTGACGGCAGCAGATCTGGACGCGACAGCTGTGGCACCTGCTGAGTGGAAAGGCTGCTCCAGGCAGAGCTGTGGAAGCTGAGCGGGCGAGACGCCCATGGTGCTGTTGCTTCTCCTGTTAATTGCTGGTCCTTTACAAACAGGGCACGAACAAGACGAATTTTTCTGCACAAATTGATGCGGACGGTCTGGAGCTGTGGGCTCCGTCTGATTTCTCTGGGGCGTTGTCCCCATAAGCTTTTCCTAAAGCATCAATGACTTCACCATCTTCCACGCAGCTTCACTGTAAACCTGAGGCTTGTTCCTGCTTCCATTTTAGCAGAATTCGTGTTGCTCTAACGAGGGCTCTTCCCAAACCGATGTCTTATCCTTGGTGCCTCAAACTAGATCCTGTCTAGCCATGTTATAACAAGTTTGTGTGAATTTATTTTGGTGCAAAAATATTCTGAAGCCCATGCGCTGTTTTTCCAAAATATGCATTTTCTATGAACTTTTAAAAGTCTCCTGACATTTTCACCACGAAGCCTTGTCTACGCGAGCCCCACCTGTGCTGTGAGCTCTGGGGACCGTCACTGAGCCCTGGCAGGGGATGCCTGTTTCAGGGTTTCACTAGTGCTGACTTCCCGGAGCTGCTCAGTCCAGCCTATCCTGCACCAAAGCACACCTCTGCGTCCCTACCGCCTCCCCCCCAAAGCGCGTGGGCCAAGAGCATCACCCATGCATGCCTCCCTTCGTGTGGATCTTCAGAGGCCCCTCCTGGAGGGCAGCCAAAAGCGCACTCACCCGGCCCAGGGTCCTACCGACCACCAAGGACCTTCCAGAAACATCAGGGCAGAGGGCAGCGGGGCTGGCACTAACTCTGGTTTTCATTCAGCTTTTATTACAAAATGAAATTCCCTACTGATATCAGTGAAAGTATCAGCTTTGACCAGAAGAAACAAAAATGCTCAAAATTCACTGTGACCCCTTTGCAGGGACAACCACAGATCACAATCTTATTGGAAAGTTCCTCTGATTTCTGGTGGCAGAGGTGACAACCCCCAGAGACTTAAATGCCAGGTGAAGATCCCATGGGCTGCTCTCTAGAGGACAGACCAGCGGCGGAGTCCCTTCACTGCTGAGACAATGGGAGGGCCCATTCCATGCCGGGGGCACGCGGTGCCTGATCCTGGTGCCCGCGCCCCACGAGCGAGCTTGGATGGGAGGAGAATGGCACCGAGGACTGTGCAGCTTCAGTGGCTGCAGTCAGAGCTTACAAACGCAGCACTCCAACACGCGCCAAAGCCACACCTAGGCAGCTTGCCCGCCGAGAAACTCACTTCTGGAACTCAGGTGGGAAGTACAGAAGACTCTGAGGGCCTTCTGAGCAGTCTGCTTCTGTTCTTTGTTCTGAAGAGACCCAGTCCACACAACTTCGAGAACAGCCTCTGCGGCAGCTGTATAAAGTGCTTTTGAAGGGTGCCAGATGTGTGCCCCGAGGGCCATCGTTAGGGGCAGAAGACAGGGGGTGAGCTTCCTGCCACGGGTCAGACGGGAGGCACCTGACCTGAGTCTGTGCCACGTAGTCTCTGCCAGGACCACGTGACACTGCCCCCGTGGTGTCCAAGACAGGACAATGTGTGGACGTGTGAGCCTTGGGGTGTTCCGATAACATCTTACTAAGAGCAGAGGTGGCAGGGTTTGGCCCACCAGCTGGAGCTGCTCAAACCTCTGCTCTGGTCCTGTCCCTAAAACTTCTGTGACATTCTTCAGCGCGTGATTCCAGTCCTAGACTGAGAGACGTTTCTTCTCACCCGCTGGGACCCCGCCACGAAGCACTGCGATTTCACAAACGTGGTGACACAGGAGGCGTGGCGCCGGCCTCAGAGCCTGTGCAGAGTTGGTGTCGGCACTCCCACTGCAGGGCTGGGAGGGGGAAATCAGTCTAGTCAGTGGCGAGGCGGAGAGAATGCCCAGGCATCCAGGAGTCCTAGATGGACCCGGAGCCCTGCACTGGACGCTGGAAGGCCCGGGTCCTGCAGTACTCTCTGACCAACCTTCCTCCCACCGCAGCTGTGACCAGCGAGCGACAGGGCTGAGGGCCCGCCCTCTGCTTTCAACTGCCCACGTCATCCCAGGAAGCCCGGCTTCTAATCATTTTAATAAAGTTCTCGTCATAAAACCTTTTTCTTTGGACAGAATAACACATTTCCAGCCATGCTTTTGGTGTGGATTTTAAAGCCAAGATATTTTTTCAGTGAAAACCACAGGCGTCTGTGCAGACACCACGTCCTTCCCGGGGCGCTCGGGCTGTGCTCTGTGCACGTGGAGGGCTTTGCTTGCCCGCTTTGAAGTGCTGCTGAGCCATCTCACTTCAGTCCCCCCTCCAAAACGAAGTCCTGTTAAAATCACCGTTAAATGAAGTTCATACCAAGGGAGTCTCTGGTGTCTCAGCTTGGTGTGTGGTGCTGTCCCAAAGCCAATCAAAACACAATATGAAAGATGAGCCTAGACTCGTGGGCACCGGCGCGTCAGCCACGCGTGAGGGTGCTGGGCGCTGTCGGAGGCATGTGCACACACACCCTTGTCCTCACTTTCCTGGGCCTGGCGCCCTCGGGGTTGTGACCCCACACACTTGCTAGACCTAAGAAGGTGAGAATGTGAGGTGTCTGAGTGCATCTGTGGTATGATCAGCAGCGGCCCTTCTCCGCCACGGGACACAACTTCTTTGCCTATAAAAAGAAAGCTGAACGTGGCATTCCCTGCCTCTCTGGGGCCGCGCTGTGTCCGCCACGACCCTCTTACAGGACGAAGCTGAAGGAATGTCCCTGTTTCATAGATGCTACAA